GTAAGTACGGTTTATTATGGTAGGCTAGTATAAAGAGATGTGTGGGAATGGTGCTTGCCCCGTGCCCTTTTTTTCCCTAACTGCACAAGGGTGAATAGTTAGAAAAGTAGATGATTGCAAATTGCACTATTTCAGAATCTCCAAAATATCTACATCTCGCAACTAAAAACATTATTTTTACTTCAGTATTTCTGCTCTACATAGATTAAATGTAACGACGGCTACGGATATTCACCACATGCAATTTTTACGTTTCCCTTTGTATAAAACTGCAGTGCGGACGTCATTAAAAAAGTCTTTTTAACTGAACCCGAACTTTGCTGAGAGTCTGTGCATGTCATTTGTCCTGAATTATTCGAAATTATTGTTTGAATATTATTCGGACTTCAATTCTATAAACATTCTAATCAGTTGAAAGTATTTGTAGCCGCATATGTGAACCTCATTGATTAATTAAGTCTTAATATACTTATCAGCGAAAGTAAAATCTGAAAATTTCTAATTAGCGAGGAAGCGCAACACACTATTCATTCTATACAGCATCCTCCGTAGCTTGACAGATATACTGCCTTTATGCTGACAGTATCAGCACATGTATGTGTATGTGAATACATACACACACACACACACACACATACATACATACGCACACTTTTTATGTGTGTGTGTGTGTGTGTGTGTGTGTGTGTGTGTGTGTGTGTGTGTGTGTGTGTGTGTGTGTGTGTGTGTGTGTGTGTGTGTGTGTGTACACACACATATACAACCACACGAGCCGAAGGCCATACTGTCAGTTAATAATCATTCTGCACACGTGTTGACTATGGCTGCATGTGCATATTCCATATCTTTACAGACAAAATGCTACCGAGAACAGAAATAAAGACTCGTAAATTCTAATAATGTGTTCAAATTGAAATTGTGACACTTTTTCAAACAATTCTTATCGTAGAATTCATGGAATAGCCATTGCTATTATTATTATCCCCGGGATTATAGTTATCATAATGACCATTAGTTATTGCTATCATCACTGTCATTATCGTCCTCATTAATATTATTGTCATATTCATTACTATTACTATTGATCTCACCATCACTGTTATTGTTATCATTATAATTTATATTATCATTATTATTATTATCTTATTACTAGTCTCATTATTGTTATCATTATCATTATCAATATTGCTATAACCCTTATCATTATCTTTATTCTTATGGTTTTTATTATCATTATTTTTATCATTACCATCATTATCATTACTATCACTATCACTCGTATATAACGAAGGCGAAGTTCGAACTATCGGGCTGACAGTTGAAGTGTGGTTTTAGTAGCGGGGTGACCCAGCATGAGCCGAGGTCATGTGGGGATGGCTGTGCCTTCTCCACCCATGACGGTAGCGTCACTACTTATGAATGACTCATGACCATGGTTTCAAGCACCATACAAGAACAGCTTTCAGTTATATGCTCATTGTTCGGCCATTACCCAAGAAAATCACACACTCATACATGTGTGTGTGTGTATGTATATATATATATATATATATATATATATATATATATATATATATATATGTGTGTGTGTGTGTGTGTGTGTGTGTGTGTGTGTGTGTGTGTGTATATGAATATATGCATATGTGTGTATATATTATATGAGTCCGTATATATATATATATTCATATGTATATGTGTGTGTGTGTGGGGGGGGGGGTCAACGCGCAGGATTTTTAAACGGAGTGTAGCTAAAGAGAATATATCATTTAGCAACATCATTCATCATCTTTTACAGTGTAGGTATATAAAACAACACAATACAATAGACGTAATGAACGCGCACGCACACACACACACACACACACACACACACACACACACACACACACACACACACACACACACACACACACACACACACACACACATACACACACACACACACACACAAATACACTCATACACGCAGTAGAAACATATAAATAAAGGCATAAAAATAGAGCGTGAGAGAGAGAGAGAGAGAGAGAGAGAGAGAGAGAGAGAGAGAGAGAGAGAGAGAGAGAGAGAGAGAGAGAGAGAGAGAGAGAGAGAGAGAGAGTGAGTGAAGAGGAACTACAAAGAAAAAAATAAAAGTTTATGTAGTACGTATTCAAACACTTGTTCAATTACTTGTGCTGTTTATTGTTTCTTCTTACAAAATCATCAAAACATTATGATCATTCCTTTAATCATGGCTGTAGCAGAAACTCAGAAGCCGTAGGGGAACGAGAACGTGTTCGGATGCCGGGTAAAGATACTCTCCGACCGGATAATGCGTTTTCTTACGTCCAAATACGTTGATATTACTGAATTCTGTCGCCGGAATCCGTGACATAAACATGGTGCCACACCTCATAGCCTGGCGTCCCTTTATTTTCTTTGAAATTCAGACTTGGATAAAAAAAAACGTATTCTTTAAATACAATACATTCATAATTCCTTTATATTTAACTACATTTAA